GCTTCTTGGAGATCTGGCTGGCCCGTTCCTCAGTGCCCTTGGGCACAGGTTGTTCCCTGTATCAGGGAGGCAAATGCAACCTTTCCCCTTTAGCTCGTTGTTCCCATCTGCTTGGGTGAGTAGGAGCTGTTCCACTGCCACAAGCTCTTTTGGAGTGCAGATTTCATTGAGAGCACTGACAGAGGCAGCCGAAGTGTGCTGGAGCCGGGAGACCGGACTTTGAGCGCTGGGGCGAGTTCTGGAGGCAGGAAGGCTCCAGCCAAGCACTTCCTTGAGAGCTGTCTCTGTGGCGAGGCAAAGTAAGCAATAAGAAAAGAGGAGAGGCTTTTTGCAGCCTTTGGCATCGTTCCTGGCTCTGCAAGAAATCCCACGATGCCCTTTCAGCCTGACCAATGCCAAACACACCAATTTAGCACAGGGCTGTGGGTCACTGCTTGCCAGCAGCTGGTACAAAACACTCGTGGGTGGAGGAAGCTGAACCTGTGGCAACTCCTGTGGCATTGCAGATTTTGTTTTAAAGCAACAATTCTTACACTTTGGGTGACAGAGGTAGCTTTGCTGGTGTAGCTTTGCAGTGCTACTGTCTTCTGCTGCTTGGCTGTTGCCCGGCCAACGCGCACCAGGTTGGACAGGAGTAGCCCAGGTTGTGCTGGAGCTGCAACCAAAGGGGTGGCTGTGCCTTGCTCTGCTCTTGAGTGCTGTGACAAGCAGCCATGATGCTACTGAGCTCTGCGGGGGGAAGAAACAGAGCAGGCAGCATGAAGCAAGATGTCTTTGCAGCAGAAGACAGTCTCGTGTAAAACACCACCGTGCTGCCCAGGGGAGCACCACCACCAAGTCTGGCTGCCTGTTCTGCCTGTGCCAGAGCTTGGACCCGTGGTGAGGAGCTCTGCCGCTGCGTGTGATTACCCATGTTTGTAAACCTGGCTCCGAATGGGGAAATGCTTTATTTTCCTTGTAAGCAACCTCATCGGAAGCAGGTTGTTTTGTGAAGCCTCTGCGGGAGGTGGGTTTCTCAGGCAAGGGTAGGATTTCTGGCCAGAGCACATCTGTAACATCTGCCGTGTTTCGGATGGGGCTCTTGCCTTTCCCACCCTCTCTCTGCAGCTGGCCAGGCTGGGAAGAAAAATGCTTCAAGTGGAGGTTCAGACTTTTCCCTTTGAGACCTGAGTCTTGCAATGCCTGCTTTCCTCTTCTTTTGTTACTCCCAGCCCAGGGAGGTGTTTTCTGGATTGCAGTGCCCAGAAACTCTCCTTATTATTGCTTCCTCCTAAAGCCAGCTCTGCTTTTGCTTCCCTGCAAATGAGGGCAGCCCAGGAATGGTTGTCCCTGGAGCTGGGGAGCTGCTGGAGCTGTGGGGAGGAAAAGACACCAGGCTGGGGGCTGTGGCATTTTGTCGAATTCCACTAAAATGATTAAACAGAAAAAAAAAAAAAATCCCTCCATAGTGTCTATCTTGAGTGGCTTTTGCTTTTCCTCTGAGGAGGAGGGATGCCGGGGGCCCGGCAGCCCCAGTCATGGGAAAACGATGCTGGCAGTCTGCAGGAATTTGCTTTCGCCTCATGGGATCTTGGCGGGGAGGAGACTTCCTGGGAATGTTGCACGCCGGGGTAAGGAAAACCCCATTCTCCTAAGGGCTGGGCCGAGCCCCCACCATTGAATCATGGGATGGGAATTGATGGGCTGGCAAGCCCACGGCTTTGGCAGGCTGGTTTCCACCCTGGGGCTCGCTGCCGAAAGCAAACTGCCAGCGGTGCCAGCCCATTCGCTGCGCAGGATTCGCATCCTCCGCCTTCGTGTCTTCGGCTGTTAATTCATTTTAAAGCAGGAATTGTTTCCTTCTACTGCTTCAGCCATCGCTGCACTGGCCATGCAGCAGTGCTGGTGGCCATGGCAGTGATGCATGTCTTCCTGGGTGGCAGCGGGGAACAGTCTGGCCGTGGCTACACGGTGCCCGTTCGCTCCCGAGCTGCAGCGCAGCTATTTAAATAGCACCCTGCTTTTGTCTTCCCCTGGGAGTCTCCCCTGCCCTCTCGCTCTCTCATTCTCTCCTTTTGCTGAGTTGTCATAAAAATTTACTACCTAAAGGTCTCGGTGCCTCGCTTGCAACCAGCAACGCCCACGGGTGACCGTGGTGTCTGGCAGCCTCTGCTGGCGGCTGGGGACAGAGATGGTGAGCTATACCCGGGCAGCCACGGTCCGTGGCCGGCCCTCAACCCCCGGGGCTGTGAAACACCGTCAGATTATCTTAGAAACTGTTGATTGGCAAAAAGAGAGGTGTTTTCTGGTGGTTTGGTGGTTTCTTCTGGAGCTTGTGTTAGTCTTGTTTTCTTTGCGTTTCTAACCATTGTTAGGTGCTCATCTATAGTCCTTTCTCTCCTCCCCTGGTGTTTTTATTGAAACATGAGGTTTTCCACTGCAAATCTCATCTTTCAGAACTCTTAAGGGAAAAAAACAAACCAGGACTGGGAACAGTGACCTGGCCCAGGGTCCTGTCCCCAGGGTGACAGCTCAGTCCCAGTGGCTCCTTGCAGAAATGGGGCTGTTCCTCCACCTTGGGCAAGCCTGCCCTGACCCTGGCGATGGGCTCAGATGTTGCGGAAGCCCTTCCCTCTTGCTGGGTCTTGTTTGCCGGTGAATTAATGGCTGGTCTGTGCTTCTGTCAGCTGAGGATAGTTCAGTTCCTCTCCCTGGCTGCTGTTGGAAAACAGCTCCAGCGACCCCTCTGTTGCCATCTGCCTGGTGGGGTGCAGACCTTGGGTAGAAAAATCCTTGATAAAACCATGAGAACTGGGAACAGCAGAGGCTTTCAGTGGCTCCAGCCGTCTGGAAGAATATGGGGTTGCTGTGGGTGAGCTCTGCCGGTGGGCAAGGTGGTCAGCGCAGCTTGGGTTTGGGTGTTTGGTGCCACGTTGCTTTGCGGGCAGAGATGCGCAGGGGTAGGGGACCTCCCGCACGTGTGCCACAGGGCGAGGTGAAAAACCGACCAGTTTGGGGTCTGGAGTGCAAAGAAAATGGGGGCTGGTATTTCAGGCTGCTGCAAAGCCGCACGGGGGAAGGGTGCCATGTGAGAGGGCAGCTTGTCCCCACCTTCCCCCACCCAGACTTGGGTTCGTCCTGGCAGAGGACACGGACGCCCCGTGAGATGCTCGCTGTAAGACCACTGTGCTAACCAGCTTCTCCCAGAGCCCCAGGTTTGGATCTGGAGCAGTACATGGTGACCAGATGCTGGTGAGAAAGCCTCAGGTCCCCAGCCTGCCTGTGGCATTGTCCCTGTCCTCTGCCGGACTGGCCAGGGAGGGATAGGCGATGGCATTTCCCTGCGATGGAGGTGCCGCTGGGTCCCCAGGCCACATGCATGCCACCCTGCCACGCTGGGCTCCGTCCTGCCCACCAGCAGGTCTGCTCGGGAAGTTTTTCTCGTCCCGCGGCGGGGAGCCAGCGGTGATTTTGTACCGGCTGTGGCGATGCTGCCCAGTGCTGGGACCCGCGGCACGGAAACTGCCCTGGTTCTTCTGCAGCTTCCTTTCAGCTGCTATGGGCTCCAGAAATAGCTGCTGCTCGGCCCGCCCTGCAGCTGGGCAGCTCCCGGTGGTCACCACCTCCAGCTGCTTGGGACGGGGCTGCCGGCTCCCTTCTTGGGGCTGTGGGCGATGGGGGGCTTGGCAGTACCCACAAAGCAGGAGGAAGGTGAGACCTATGACAGATGCATCTCCCAAAAGCAGACTGCTGCTGAGGCCGTGCATAATTACCTGCTGCCAAGGCAGGCGTTAATTGCCGCTCCAGTTGCGGGTGCTGCCAGGTGGCAATTGTCATCTGGAAAGTCCCTGCTGCTCCCTGGCAGGCAGGTCACCTAAACCGGTGATCAGCCCGGATCACTCGTGGCATGAGCATTAGTCTGAGGTCGAGACGGTTTCGGGTACAGGCTTCCCCCCTTCCTCTTTCAAAATGGTCCCCCCTTGGCTCCCTCCTGCTCACGCGTCACCAGCTGCCTTGGATGGGGTGAAGAGCA